GCCTTCTCTATACCTGGACTATGCAAACAAAGCTTGGTTTAACTATTTGTTACAACTCCCATATCTCAAGTACACTGTAGAAGATTTAGAAGATCCCTTGCAATATCACATATTCCTATAGCACAAGTATTATACAATCTATGTGCCTTGTTTCATGTTCTAGAAACCCTACATAAGTGAAGACTTTCCCCAGGAGAGTTATGGACCTGGTATAACGAGTTGTACCTCAACACTTCCATTTTCAAAGAGAAGATTATGAAATATCAAAGGTTTTTTTTTGTGAAATGTAGAAAATCCGAAGGAATCATCATACTTAAGAATTTTACTTTTCCTCAGAAGGAAATGTGAAGCAGTTCGTCATGAACAAGTATTAAACAGGGAACATTTGTCATTTTGCCATGACATCCCACTTACAGCCGGAAGGAAAGTGGGTGGTAGAACGGTTTGGGGAAAGTCAAGTAGTGTTTATCAGCCCAGGCAGAAATAATGCTGCCAGTTTTTATCAGTAGACTTTTAAGGCACTTCGTTTAATTGTATCTGTAATTTGAATAAGCAGCTAGTACAAGTCAGCAGCTAGAGAAATAAGGCTTGCCTAGCACTGCACATGTGATTGTAGAGCCATTTCAGCATTCAGAACAAAACAGGCTGCTACCAGGATCTTCATGCCATTGATGGAAAAATGGTTTTGCACGCACAAATGTATGCTTGTTCTCTCACATTATAGACTAATATCATTAGGTAAACCTAACCACAGAAATCCATAATCCTCTTGTTAATAAAGTCATATGAAACAAAATCCTGTAATACAGTACATATTCTGCACTAAACAAATTGACAGCAGCGGCTGCTATGCATTGTAAGCAATCCTGTGATAAAACAAATAGATCTGCTTTGGCCTTACCATAAAATTAATCAATAATAATATCCGAGTTAATGAAACAGCTACTTGTAAAAATCAGTGTTGCCCAACAACTTTTATAAAACATGATTAATTTCTGTGCATTAAACTGCATTACTGAAGAGTGAAATCATTAAGCATCTTTCAGCTACCCCTTGTTGATAGCAATAAGAAAAGAATTGTTTCTGAAGCTGCTCCACTCCATGAAATCTTTTAAAATCTAATTACTGGGATGGGGAAGGAATATTCAAATAACTCATAAACCTTCCTTTGCATATTAGTGTTATTCTTCTCACAGGCACCAGGGAGTCTTTATAAACAGAAGAAATCAAGACTTTGCTAAAAAATAGTCATACACAATCTCAAATGCCTTACATGATGGATGGCAGAATTCACGGGCATTCAGTTTTACATTCACTGCAGTTGACTCAAATTATCTCCTGGTAAAGGAAAAGGGTAAGATCGCTGGTCTAGTACTGTCAAGCCCGTAGATGAAGGATGCCAGCAAGTAATGCTCCGCAGTTAGCTCAGAATTATTAAAAAAGAGGTTGAGTAAGTTGGAAACAAGAAAGATTTTGTGTCTGTGACTCCTCTTTCCTAACCTGGAAAAGGCATGGGCACGGAAAGCAGTGGCAGGGAAAATTTGTCTGAGTAGGGTGTTAAAAAAGAAAAAAGGGCACTGATAAGGTGGCCAGAAAGATATATGGATTTGAAATTATTTTTCCCTCTGAAACCTAAACAGAGCCTGTATATGCTGAGCCTGAGCTGAAGAGACAATGAATTAGTCCTTGCAACTGCAATTGCCGAAGAAAATCTGCCAAATGTTGGGTAAGATAACCTGCTTCTTTTTAATTTCTAAAATCTGGCTTCCAATAAAATCCCTCCCTCAAGGCATGGTAGATAATGCAGTGAAGCTGAGGACAGTGGCTGGAGGGCTGTGATGTTAAGCCACAGCCTCAGTATTCAGAATGTCCAGAGGCTGGTGCAGGACTGAGCCAAGAGGTAGCTAGCTGAGCAGGGCTGACTCAAAGAGATGCAATGTAGTTCCACCTGAGACACAAGGGTGCACAACACTTCGCGCTCTACACTATTTTGCAGCAAAGATGTTCCAAAATCCTTACAGTGATTGCTATATATTTTTATCCCCAATTTAGGCATGGGAAAACAAGGCCAGAAAGGTTAAATGTGTTTGTCAAGAAAGTGTTCCCCATGGTAGAACAGGAGATGACATCACAGGTGAGATTTTCACCTTGCCAAAATCCATGAGTTTTGCTGCTATCTTCACCAGACTCATGCTTCCCACAAGAAACTGTTCCCATTTTCACACTTTTTCTCAGCTATTCATGCCTTCCATCTTAAAAGTTAGAAAACAACAACAGAACCTAAACTTCATCTCTGAAAATTAATTTATATTAAGTCACAAATTAATCTCATCAAAAAATTGGAGCGGGATTATAACTAGCCTCAAGTATCCTAGGAGTTTGTTTAGAAACAAAAGGCATTAGGAAATGTTATTTTTCACTATTTTTAACTGAGACGCTTAATATGCATGTGCAACTTGTAGAAGAAATCAACATCTCTGGGAGACTATTACAGAAGTTTACCAGCTGAGAGGGGTAGTCAGGCATTCCTCACCAGGACAGACATATTATCACTTATGTGGACACAGGTGGAAGGCCTCAGTGAGTAATCCCCTGCCCCAAGGAAGACCTGCTTTCTAAGGTGCACCTTGCTTTTCTTATTTGGGTCCCTCATACCTATTTGCTCTCAGGTAGAGGAGCATAGTCAGCAGGTATTCAGCTCCTTCTTTGGTCCCAGACTTAAATTATCAGAAAAAGGCAATGCAGCTGTTCAGGATGGTTCAAAAAGTACCACTACCCCTGTTTTTTCTGCTTTGCCTTGTTGAGACTAATAAGAAATTTCCTCTCTCAGTAAGGCAATTAATATTTAGATCCATCCCCTTTGAATTAAATTGCCATCACAGAAACTAACCTGAGTTACACCTGAGTAGGTCAAAGAATGTTCTGGGATGATTTTTTTGTTTTATTTCTAAGGCCACTTTATTTAAAAAAACAGATGTAACTATGATTTTACAGCCCTCCTGATGGTAAGAGTAGTAACAGAAAAAGTAAAATTTTGCCTGTAAAAGGGCATTTGCACAAATTAAGCACAATCTCCACTGCTTTTAGCTGTTTCTATACAACAGAAGGTTGTTTAAAACAAACTGGAAGTAATTTTACTGTCAGGAGGGAAGGCGTCACCTTTGGAAAACAAAAAAATGAAGTGCAGAGAGACCATTATTGTAGCTAGCCTGTTTTTTGTAGGTCAGGTCTTTGTATTGCAGGCAGAGTTTTCTCTGCAGGGATGGCTTCTGTATTTTTCAGTGCTGGCAGGTGCATGGTTTTCTCCTATTAAAATATCCAGAAATGTGTGAATCCTGTCCAATACTTAGGGGGTCCTAGTTCCAAAACACCTAAACAACTATCCTAGTGCAAAATTCATACATTTGCAGACAAGCTTTCCTCCCTGTTGAGTATGTTGTCTTCATCTTCCAATTTAAGAGTTTAAGTAACAGACTTTATATTAGCCTTATTTTGGTGGGAAATGTGAAATTTTAATGTCATAACTTTTGCTGTTACTTCTCCAGTTAACAGTATGACACCATTATGAATTTTTCCTCATGCTATACACTAACAGCTAAAATTGCGTTGTTTTAACATTGTTGGCATAGGAACAGCAATGCAAAAGGTACTACAGAGCAGCAAATAGCCAAATACTGCAGATATATACTGAGCGACACTTGAGGAAATTATCTTATTTCATATGCCTATGTCAAATAGGCGCCAAATCCTTAACTTATATAAATCAACGGATATCATTTTACAGTCTAACCCTCACTGAAGCTCCATGTCCAAACATGTAGGCTGTAGACCTCTCTGAGGAAAGCGCATGGAAGGGTAGCTGCAGTACTCTCAGTCGTTCACAGTGCAGCTTAATTCTAATCTATACCTTCCCACAGATGAATTATCACGCTCGTAGAGGTGCTCATTTCCCATGTTTGAGATAGAAGCAGGCCAGCAGCTGTGCAGAATTCAATGACCAGCACTCCTATAAATAAGCCCTATTCTCTGCAAAATTAAGACCTCAGACATTTTGTCCTTTTGGCCACTGCTTATGCAGAGACAAGCCAAGAACTGGAGCCTCAACTGCTCCATTTCTTTCCACTTTTCACTTACCTCATAACCACATCAGTGCCTTTCCCTCAGCAGTAAGCCCCTTCACCCATGTGCCATCCCTCTCTTTTTTACACTGAACACTGAGGAGGATGAAGCACCATGAGAAGGAAACCTTTTCCTTCAGATCCCCTCTCCAGGATCAAAGGTAACTGGATCTGGGAGAGGAGGCTTGGAGTGACTGCTCTTTGTATTACCCTTGTACACATGCAACTTACTGTTCTGCTGAAGGAGAGGTCATTTGCAATGTATGACCCACAGGATCTACATATGAAAATATGATAATATGGTATGCATGTATGCAATAGTCACTCTCTTTCTTGCTAGACTATGCTGTACATATTTAATTATATTCACTCTAAGATTTTGGTTTAGACCAAATATTATGAACGTTTCTCTTCCCTTATGTGGGTCTATAGAACTCAAACCAAATTATCGATTAAAGCATTATACAGTAATTAATCTAATACAATGTTTGAGACTATGATTGGTCCTCAATGTATCATAGTTTTCTTCTGCATTTTAAAGACCACAGTCTCAGTTTTATTTTATTCTTAATGGCTTCTTATTCAAACAATGTTTAACACAAAGCTTGGACTTATGTGTCTTGAAGACAATAGGTTTTGTTATACACACTTAGCTTTATCACAATTTTTCCAGGGATCAAAATGGTCGCTATCATCTTACCACTTTGCTGACTTAATTTCTAAATAAATTTCTTCTACCACTTTTTATTTCAAGGGGAATTGCCGCCATTTGCTATGTTACATAAGAGACAAAGTATGGTTAAAATTTTCTATGAACATTTGTGTAAGGTCTTTAATATGTGCCTCCATTTGTGCAAGCAAGAACATGTTGAAAACACTTACCTGGAATCGATAAAAGGTGCCATCATCCTTTAGTGTTAGGACGTGGTCTGAGATTGGAAAGAAATAGCCATGTGCTGCCATCAGTGTTCCCAAATGTAGAGCTTCCACTATTTGAAGAACAGAAGAAAGAGAAATTTTAAAAATTATATCACTTGTAACATAATGATGCAACCAAAAAAACCCTTTCCTCTCCTTAACAAATGGCTAATAGATGTCCCATTTATAGCTGCAGTTCCACTGCTTACATCAGCATTAGCAGGTAGCTAACGCAATGTTCACTCACTTGTTTTGAAGCTGAAAACAGCTATCATTTTCACTCTGATGGTGCAGCCTGCTTTTCCTCTTCAGAACAGTTTCAGATTACACAATGTTAAAATAGTTGATTCCAATTGCACGATATCTACCTCACTAGTTTTATTAGAACTACAGTAAAGGATAGAGATTTCCTTAAAAGTTTCTCATTACAGGGAAAATAAGAAAGGATCACAGAATCACAGAATGGTTGAGGTTGGAAGGGAGCTCTGGAGGTCACCTGATCCAATGTCCATGCTCATGCAGGGTCACCTAGAGTCAGTTGCCCAGGACCACGTCCAGATGGCTTTTGAGTATCTCCAAGACAGGAAACTCCACAGCCTCTTTGGGCAACCTGTGCTAGTGCTCAGTCAGCCTCACAGTGAAAAAGTGCTTCCTGATGTTCAGAGGGAACCTCCTGTGTTTCAGTTTGTGTCCATTGTCTCTGGTCGTGTCACTGGGCACCACTGAAAAGAGCCTGGCTCTGTCTTCTTTACACCCTCATACCACACACAGGTGAACTTCCACCTAAGCCTTCTCTTCTCCAGACTGAACAGCATCTTTTTTCATAGGAAGATGCTCCAAGCCCTTAATCACCTTTGTGGCCTTCTGTTGGATTCTCTCCAGTGTATGTGTGTCTCTCTTGTAGTGAGGAGTCCAGAACTGGGCACACACAGGATGAATTCACTTTAATGAACAAAACCATAATATGTAACAGTCAGATTTATATGTACTTTTGTATTTTCAGTGACTTGCTGTCCAGTATCAGTGCCTGAAGTCTCTTACCCAGTATTGTCATTATTTGGCTGACAAGAACACAATGTTGTAGGAAGAGAACAGCTTTAGAGTGCTCATATTGTAGTATATAAGTCCTACTATCTCTTTACCATATTTCTTTACCAGCCTTGTAACAACTCTAGTATGTACCCCTAAAACATCTACACAGCAATTTCTGCTGTAACATTAAAAATTTCCTAGCATAACCTGCTATTATCGGTACACACCACCTAAACATCCTAATTTTAAGAGATGGGCCCTGGAAATGAACACAATTGTTTCTGAGCTATATGACAAAGCCACCAGCTACAGAAGCTGGCGCTAGAGAGGACAACACTGCTGCAGAAAAACATCAGGTATGAGAAAAGGAAAAAGATCATAAAAAAGGCCATATTGGACACCTAGGGAATAAGGAGAAGGTGGGAAAGGGGAGGAAGAAAAAGACAAAGAGACAAAAGACAGAAACAGTGAGATCTGCCTAAAAAAAAGAGAGATCTTCGATCTAAAATACTAATTCAGTATGAATCCAGAAAGTATGCAGAATCAGTAAGGATGAATATATGCACTATGGAAAACATGTTACACCACCACAGCATACACAGATTCATATTCATCCTCTAAAAAGAGCTCATATGTTCCTATTGCCTGTAATTTTGCTTTCAGCAATGGCAAGCATAAATGTTGCAGCATGGATCTGTCTTGTCCTGCATCTTTAAAACATCACTGCAGCATCTGACCAGCAGTCACAGCATCATCACACAGAAAGAAATGCAAGTCCTGATATCTGTGTTCTTGGCTAATAAACACAGAAAGAGGGATTCACATATGCTTCATCCATTATTATTTTGGATATGAGAAGGAAACACAGGCTTTTTTATTTACCTATACTTCATCAGCATCCCAGAAAATTCCTTCTTTCACCCTTTTGCCCACCTGGAGACATAGATTGGTATAGGAGATACAGCAGGTGGAGTGGGACATTTTTATGCTAACCCAAAGCCAGCAAGCATGTGAAGGGAGCAAGAAAGTGGATCTGGACAGTACTTAACTGAAAGCACATAACCCTACCAGGGTTTAGTTGATATCCAATAATCCTTGTGAGCTCTGTGTTTAGCAAACTGGTTCCTGCCCCTCCAGCAGAGCCATTATCTAAGAAAATCCAACACACCCTCTCCAGCAGTGAGCTCTCTGGCCTGCTATAAAATACCACAATCTGGTTAATAAGCCTTCTCCCAATTGCAAGCCTACAAGAAATCTCTCTAACAGAAGAAAGGTAGTTGCTTTGCTCCTTGTGCTTGAGATGTCTGCAAATCCCCATCTGAACTTTCTCCTAATTAATGTAAGTCCATATACTGTAATTATTCATTTATTTCAAGCCACTAAATTCTATTATCCCTTGGATCAGAAATTTTGAATCCACACTTTCTGTAGTGAGTCAGTTGCTGAGGTCCTTTTCATTTTGGTTCACTTCATCTACCTTTTAATTTTATTAAGGTTTTCTTTGCTCTTCACACTGCAACTTATTGCCTATTCAAAAACCTTTTTTTTTTTTTTTTTCAGGTATTATGTACCTTCAGGGAATGAGACAAAAACAAAGAAAGAAATGTGCTGACATTTTTTATAGAAAGGATTTCTTAGATAAGGGTGACAGGGCTTGCCAGGGAGCTCTGACGCAGATGAGAGCACATTCTCTTCAGATTTAGTAGAAACTAAATAGCTCCAGATTTGTTTCACATTCTTCCTAGATTCTGAATTGTAATGTTTTTGAAGAGCACAACCACATCCGGAATACTCTGTCCAGTGGGAATAACATGACCACTCCAATATGAGAAAGACATCAACAAACTTGAATAAGTCCAGCAGAGGGTGACCAACATGGTTGGGGCTGGAGAACGTGCCCTGTAAAGAGAGGCTGCGGGAGCAGGGCTTGCTTAGACTGAAAAAGAGAAGGTTTTGAGGGTGCTTAGCAACACCCTTCCAATGCCTAAAAGGACATTACCAAATAAGGGAGCCAAGATCTTTATGGAGTTGCATGGCAATTAAAAAAAAAAAAAAAAAAGAGAGAGAGGGGATGGTTCTGACTTCAGCCAAACAGCAGAAGAGGCTGCCCAGAGAGACTGTGCAGTCTGCATCCTTGGGAGGGTTTCAAGACCTGAATGGATAAAGTCCTGGGCAACATGTTTGACCTTACAGTTGACCCTGCTTTGAGCAAGGGGTTAGACTAGAGTCCTCCTAAGGTCCCTCTCAACCTGAATTATATTACAACTCTGTGACTTTAGGTGGGTCAAGCAGAAATGGAACAAGGAGTGGAAAAAAGGGATGGAGACAACTGGAGAAGAAATTGTCTGAAAGCTCCTGCCAGAGCCGCCTATAATCCTGGCAAGATTGGTTACAGTAGAAGTAAGAGCTTATATTTCTCTCACTGACCACTGAGTCATATATGCAAGTATATAGTCACCACTAGTTCTCCATGCAAAAAATGGAAACAGTGACCTGGCCTTCTCCAGAAGCCAATTAAGGTTATTTAAGATCTGAATCATTCCTAATAGGAGCCTATATCTCTTCTGCAGTTATGTATGGACACTAAAGTGGTTTTACTCTTACCTCAGGCAATCTCATTCAGCTAGGATGAATCTACACTAACTCAGTGTTAAGGTATCTCTCTGTCCCTTTATCCATTAAGAGTTAATGGGCGCATATAAACTTGTTACATCTCTTTTCCTTCAGCTAATAGACAATTAATTTTCATTTTTTATGGCTATCAATCTAGTAACTTATTCCAGCACTGCATAAATATGAATGCACAAATCTACCTTTTTAATATCAACCTAAGAGCCACCGTAGCTCATACTTGGGAATGTGAGCGGTATCTGCTTTATTAAAAGAAAAGGAAAAAACCCACACATGGTATAAGAATAAAGACATTCACTTGAAAGTCTAAAATCTTCTTCATTGGTATCATCTGACAATGGGGCAACTGCGTAACCAAAGCATTACCAATAAACTTTGCACAGAGGTTGAATAACCTATAAATCAAATATGTCTCAAACAGGTGAACAACATTCACAAAACTGTAACTGTGAATAATGCCCACAGAATTGTAACCTTGCCTCACATGAGACTGACAGGGGACTAATGCTGCTACTCTCTGCACAGCAGCAGTAGAACTTCTGCACAGAAAGAAAACTCAGCTCTCAGGAGGTTTCTAATCTCCAGGAAAGAAGTTGTTCAGTGTATTACAGACACAACAAAGGCAACACTTTGATGTACATCTCAGTTTGCTAAAATCAGACTGAAAAATAAATACTGTGAGAAGCCAATGAAGTAGAACAGTAGGACTTAGGAAACAAAACTGTGAGCTTGAAAAGAAAAATGTAGCCAGCAGCATACTAGTCCTACATGCCTAAATGCCTAGAATTTCCATTCAGACAGCTTCTGCATCCCCCACTGCATGTGAAGTTAGGGGATTTTCACCTAAAGAAGCAGGTTTCACCTGGAAGAACAGCAGATGGAGATTAGAAACATAAAAAACTTCTATGAAGTGCATTAGTTAAGAAGAAAAAAGAAGCCTGAATAAATACTTTTAAATATAAAGGTTTCCAGGTAGGAAGAGTAATGTTTATATGTATTCAGAATACAAGTTTAAAAAATCAGAGGAACTTAGGCTAGAAGCAAGAAAATACTGGGGGTTTAGATGGCAAGTGTACATAGACACACACAGAAATGTGATACCTACACCATTATTTCCCAGTATTCAGCCACTGTGTGTAAAATTTTGCAATATAAACTACATTGTCAGTTACACCCAGACAGCCTCACTGAGAAGGCATAGTTCAAATTGCAGTCAACTGCTATACAATGAATAAAAACTGCAGCCAGAGACATGACACACAAAATCTGAGGGAGAAAAAGCTCATGGAGGTGTAACTGGTAAAATAGAGTAGACTTCAGCTTCCTCTGTTCTTGACTCATTTGGAGACATCAATTATCTGAACCGAGGTTCCAGGTATACTTCCTAGCAGTGATACTGCTCAAAAGT